AGACTTTATTTGGGATGAAGAAGTGGAATATCTTCTCTTTAGATTGTTATTATAACTGATTCTTTGCGAGCCCATAACCTGGACCAATCCCTGAAGGATAGCAAAAGGTAGTTAAGTATAATTCACAGTTGAGTGATTCACCCATCGGCATTTCTTAGCAGTCCAGGAAGGAGTCAGATTATGATAAAGATTTTGTTGATAGGATTATTACTGCAGCAAGGTAAGACTTCCTGATACCTGGTATAAAAACAAAAAGCCTTTATGTTTTACTTGGACTTTAACAAAAGAGTGGGCACCGAATGTAGTGGGGCGAATCTGTTGGAATCAGAAGAATGCAAATATCCAAGTGAGAGCACAATGGTTCTCTGTTTTGATAGTGTTGAACTTGCCAAGTTCATCTTTGTATCACGGAGTTAGCTGCCCTCGATGACAGGGATGCTTTGTTTTAGAACACAGGACAAGTATTTAAAGGTTTCTTGAATATATCACTAACAATTCTACCCAATAACTTCTTGGTATAATTTTGACATTCTTCACAAACATTCTTATCTAACTCTCACAACAATGCTGACCCAGCAGGATAAGCAATGTTATGGATTAGCCAGATTAGATGGCTTGTCATGGCCAAAACACAACCCAAATCTGTCTTCATATCCATCAGTTCCCTATATGCTGCCTTCTAAAAGAAGTCCTACATTGAGACAGAGAAACATATTTACACAGGAGCCAGAGGAAGCCCGGGGAATTTTGAGGTGTGCTGTGCAATTCCATACTGCTTATCTTTTTGCTATTTGACTATCCGTAGGGCTGTAAGCTTACACAGATCTCTCATAGAGGCGTCCAGGTACTGTAAGTCAACTACTGCTTGGTCTTTGCCCCTTGTTCTGTGAGATGAAGAAGGCCTCAGGTGCATTTGGCTCGGTGAGGCTCAGAAGCACTTGTATTTGCTACGTGTGTAAAAAAAGGCTGTTTTGTGTGTGTGTTCCCTATCAGAATTGAGTTCCCTGCCTGCTCTGTTTTCAGACATCAAGCCTTATTTTGATGTGTTTTTCTAACTCTGTTTCCCAAATATGTTTGATTGTCAGAATCACCTGAGGAGCTCTGATTTCTATGATCAGGCAAGCTTAGGAAACCTTAGCCTGATCCATTAGACCTTTCTCCCAGAGTTTAATTATTGAATCCTGGCAAGAACCAAGAACCATAGTGTGTTCCTGCAAGCACTTGGTGTGAGTCCTGCATTGCTCTCGGCAATAAATGAAATAAAATAACAAAGAAGTTAGTAGACAGGCATTCAATTCCTAAGGATCCTTTCTAAAATCAGGAGAGACTCAGCAAGTGTTGTGCATTTGAATAATACTGACTCATTATTTCAACAATGATTTGAGTGCGTACTATGTGCCAGGCATTTGTGCTAGGTGCTGGGATATACAGCTGTGAACGAGGCAACTAACATTTTTGGAAGTCCTTATCATGGGATGGATACCAGGCTAACTGCTTCACATACTTTTTCTGATTTAAACTTCACAACTCTGCTTGAGGTAGGTATTATCACCTTCATTTTGAAATTAAGAAACTGTTACTTTGAAACTTTGAACGACTTGGCCAAAGTCTCAGATCCAGTAGCACCGATCTCGTGACATCCAGAATTAACACCCGGTCTGTCGGATTCCACCTCTCATGGTCCTTATCCCACAGATCTTCTGCTTGATCTCAGTATATGCGTCTCTTTACTCCTCCCTTTCTACTTCAAACCTGGCTACATGTTAGAATTGCCTGGGGAGCTTTTAGAAAGTACCTTTGCCTAAGCTTCACCCAAATAAATTAAATGAGAATATTTCATGAAATATTTCATAAAAGCCATTTTGTAAAAGCTCTCCCGGTGAGGCCAATGTGCAGTGATGGTGGAGAACCACTCAGCATCACTAATTGACATCAAATAGACACGGATGTGGCCAGACCAATAGTTTCCAGCATCCATCTTGGGCCTTTTGGTTGATTAAACATTTAAAGGCTCCAAGTTATTTTTCTTTCCTTTTAATTGAACTGAAAGTACTAAAAAAATACAGCAAATGTTTTAATAAGGCAAAAGTTTCCCCAAAGAGGACATGGTAATAGACCCATTAAAGAGGAATTCAGAAACTGGGAGATCTCTTTGCAGGGGTAGCTTGTCTAGAGTGAGTGATGAGAAGTGACCCGGGGCTCTGGATTTCTCTTTCCTGCT